TGGTAAAGAGTCTTTATAGCTCGGTTTTCAGGGGGGAGGGGGAAAGTCTGGCCTCACTTGAATTATCTCCTCAACCTAATGGTCAGCTCCGGTTGCAGGCTAGAATTTCCCTTCGCTGCGCTTGAGTGCTTGAATCCGAGTTCGTGTCGACGTCAGCGTTGACGGCGCGGACTAGGGATAATGTCCTGGGGTAAATGTCATGGAGAATTAGGGATAATGTAATGGGGTGGGGTAAAGCTGATGCCTGGGTGTTTTTTGGTCGACGACTATTTGAACTCAGTCCTTTAAACCACCCCTGTCCTCTTTCGCGGGTCCCTCTTTTCTCCACAGCTTAGTCCCGTTCCCTAGTTGTCTATCCTCTAGCCATTCGCGGCAGGACCATTGAGGAAAAATCAAGTAGTCCGTAAACCGTATTTTATTACTTCAATTCCCTCATGATCTGTCACCCTAACGTTTCATCATGCTACACCGAAAATGTGTTGTGACTGTTAACAATTAATGGTTCAGATTTGAAAGTCACCAATATTTTTTGATTGGAATATTACATGAAATCACATACATTTTCAGAATTCGTTACGATGATGACGACCAAGTAAACATTCAAGCCTGCTTCAATCTCAGTTCTCATCTGATCATCCTCTCTTTTGCTTGAATCCGAGTTCGTGTCGATGTCAGCGTTGATGGCGCGGACTAGGGATAATGTCCTGGGGTAAATGTCATGGGGAGAATTAGGGATAATGTCATGGGGTGGGGTAAAGCTGATGCCTGGGTATTTTATTGGTCGACGGACTACTTGAACTCAGTCCCTTTAAACCGCCTCTGCGCTCTCTCGCGGGTCCCTCTTCTCCAAGGCTTAGTCCTAGGGCATTCACCCGTTCTCTAATCGTCTGTGCTCTAGCCATCGCGGCAGGACCATTGAGGAAAAATCAAGTAGTCCGTAAACCGTACTTCAATTTTCTCATGTTCTGTCACAGTAACCTTTCATCATGCTGCACCGAAAATGTTTTCCGAATGAGAATCAGACACATTTTCAGAATTCGTTACGATGATGACGACCAAGTAAACATTCAAGCCTGCTTCAATCTCAGTTCTCATCTGATCTGTGTACCCGTCCAAATTTTGCGGTACCCATCGTCGTGTATATCCCCATACATGTCGTGTGTACCAATATATTATGTATTTTTACAACCATCACCACTCCCTCCATTGTGTTTCGTTCGATGTGCGTCCTGCTCGGTTCATGAGAGAATGTCGTGCTCGAATTTTATAAATAATGTGTATCTGGCTAGGTCATTTGTGATCTACACTTTTTTTTATTTTTTTTTATTTTTCTTTCGCTCCGATTCTCTGTTCGCTCTGTATAATTCCGAGTAGTGTTGGGAATGCCTCCGTTTTTTCCTTATTTGCGCTCCGAATGCGTCCTACTTTGCCCTGGTTGAAGCAATCACTGTTGAACAGAGCTAGGAAAACGCTGATGCCCCTTGCTTTGTACTAATTGTCGTCGGACTTTCATCTCAGACGATCCTGTAGTGATGGTTATCACAAAGTTGATTGGCGTCCACGTTTTTCCCTGACCACATGATTTAAATATAATCTATTTTATTTGTGAATGAATATCTTGCACATACAGTACTTATGACGAAATACAGTACGTAGTCTTTATTGATTATGCTCACATAGAATAGGTTCACATATTGGAATACCGGTTAGGACTGACAAAAATAGTACATCGGGACGTGCATCAATGTGAGCCGGACCCCCCGTAGGTGAATACGGTAAAGCTGGATTGGATACAGCGCATTCGTATTGCTGATAAAATGATTTGGCAGTATGAAAGAGAGATAAGAAGGAACGCAAGGATTGACCGGGTGGTGGCAAGGATTTCGGATGAGGTCTTCTTGTTCACTGGCCAAGAAAAGGCTGAGATTGTGCGCTACTCGCTGTCACTGCTCGAATTTGATGGAGCACAAAGTCCAGTGTGAATAGTGATCGTTGAATTGCAGTTCACGGAAAATGCCGGATAATAAAGTCCTCGGGGCAAATTCCTGAAAGGAGAATTCATTTGGAAATGTAATGATAGTTCATTAGAAAGTACATAGTTACGAAAGCAGCCCTACGGATTTGTTATGCCTCAATGTTTCGCTTTGCTTTACAAGGCTTCGCAATAAAGAACCATCGAAGTGAGAATGAGGGTATTTCTAGTCAACATACAAAGGGCGCTCATGTCGTTAGGGGGGGGGGGGGACACTCAAGCGAGTTAGGCAGGTAAAGTATCTCGGATACCTCGGACTAATCACAAGGACTAGGGAGGGGAACGGGAGGATGTGAGCCATTTTTAATATCCCTAGCGTTCCCTTCTCCTCCGTTCTCCTAAGCTCTTCCAGTGTCGTGTTACCGCAATGTGGTTTTCGAAGGCCCTGTTTTGATGTCCTCCCCCTCCCAAGGCCATAGTGCTCTACGAAGTTGTACTACCTGGATTGCCAATGGGTATAAGACCGCCACATCTTGAACATATTTGGGAGGGCCTTGCTCGTTCGGAGAACGAGTTTAGACAGTAATAGTTTCTAATCATATTACTCGGTCTTCGACAAGTCTTCTTCCCAAAAAGTACATCAAATTGTGGTAAATGTGTGGCCCAGTGCTAGTCAAAGGGCTGAATATGTCTGTGCGCTCAGGGGTGGGGAAGGGATCCCAGAAGCCGTTTGCCGTTCCCATCTGTCGATCACTTCCTTCAACTGGTAGAACGAATGTTGAGTCCGCATTCTTTCCACTGATTGCCCACTCAGCGTTATTCACCGTTTTTGACAGTAAGTGAAAACCGAGGGAAAGTCCGTCCCTTGCAGGATATGACCTCTACAAGCGTATTTAGCCTATACAATAATTTATGGTATGATAGATGTTTACTTCGGTTCTTAGGGTTCATGCCCTTAAGGGGCGTTTAAAACAGGGCACTTAAAAACCGCTAAAAGGTGGCACTATGACGAAGCTCAGCAGATGGGCGAAACGCCAAGAAAATGAAGGTTCTTACGTTCTCCTCCACTCTCCCTAAGGCCTCATCCCAAGATCTGGATCAGTATGTGGCTCCTTCACTCAATGCCCCCTAACAACATGAACCTCAATTTTTTCTAAAACGAATTGGTAACCCTAAATCTAACTAAAAGGATTGGGAGGCCTAGTTGGCTTAGGTGAGACCCGACTGGTGCAAACGCGGCGCGTGGACCTAGCCACCGTGGTAGATCCACTTTAAAACTGCACTAGTCACATGAAAAATCAAACAGGCACCTGTTTGGTTTCAGTTCTCATGACTGGTGTAGTTCCCATTAATCCGCTTACAGCAGTGGCCTATTCACAGGAAGAACACATTACATCCGTTTAAGCTCCTGCGATTCGATGGAGGCAACGAGGGGCGAAAGCATTTTTAGGGTTTCAGCCACTAGGTTGATCCCTTTTTATTCTTGCGAGCCGAAAAACTCGCAAGCTCGTCGGGTTAGGAAGGAGCAACACCGTGGGAAGTGTTCAAATTCGTGATATAGGGGAATCATCTAGTGCTGATGTCAGACTTTGCGAATCGTGGTAGCGAATCGTTCGATCCACAAAG